AACTACTTCACAGTTAGGGCGGCTAGGAGCTGGAACCAACTTCCAAGGGAAGTGGTGCTGGCCCCTACCCTGGGGGTCTTTAAGAAGAGGCTGGATGCCTACCTGGCTGGACTCATTTGAGTCCTGTTTCTTGTTCTGGGGTTTTGTTGTTCTCCCGTCCTGGTGGGGGGTCGGGCTAGAAGATCTACTAGGTCCCTTCCGACCCTTAATCTATGAATCTATGAATCCCTGCTGTGTTGGCTCCATGGCACGTGGGGGCATGAGCTGGGGCTGGAGCTGCTGTGGGGGCAGGAGCCCAGGCTTATTCTCAGTGCTGGTTGCAGAGAGCCCGGACATGTCTCTTCGCTGCCCTGGGCTTGTTTGCAAGTATCTGCTCTCCTGCCTCCTCCAGAGCCTCTTGTGCAGGATCAGGCCGTGCTTTCCCTTGCCGCTTTTTATTCACACGTTTCCTATTCGTGTTCCTGCTGCCAGACCTGCCCTCCCTGCCAGAGCTGTGGGTCGTGGCCAGGTTGTTGGCCTTCGAGGAGGGGATGGGACCAGAGGGGTCTGATCTGGTGATGCCTTAGGGCAGAGTGCCCCTGGAGACACCATCTCGGGCCCCTGCAGGCAGCTGGCTGCGTTCTCTGGGCTCCTCTGCTCGCTCTCTCCTCCTGGTGCCCGGTCTGAGCCCACGTTACACTTCCTGCCTGTCCTGTTCTCGGTCCCCCTGCACTTCCCATGGCCTCTCCCTGCTTCGGGCAAGGTCCTTGTGCTTATGGACACATCTGCCCCATGAAGGTTTGTGTCAGGGGTGTGCCTGGCACACGGGACCAGAGCAGCTGGGGCCTCTGGCACGCGCAGGATGTGACGGCAAGGAGCCTCGGGACATAGGGGCACGTCCATGGCTCTGACGTTTGTCTGGGAATAGGAAAGTTTTTAGGTGCTTAGTGTATCTGTTTTTCTACATCCAGTCTGCCTGGATTTCCCACAGGCAGTTTGAAGAGCAGTAATGAGATTCCAAGCATGCCGGCAGCGAGAGAGAAGCTTTTATGCATAAAAGAGTCCCCGCTTTAATTGCATTTCTGTGCTTTATACTTCCAAAAGCTTTTGGTGTGTGTTCATTGAAGTGGATTCCCAAGAACAGACGGGCGTCCCGGCTTCCTGATACGCCATCTCACTGTCTGATCCTCTGAATCCTCTTCACATGAATGTGGAAACATTTATCACAGAGGAGCAGGGAGGATTAATTTGAAGAGGATCCTTTTTTGCAGGCAGCTGTTGTTCATTATCTAATAAAGCGATGACTATAAATCTTCACAAGTTCTTTCTGGATATAATTTAATAATTGTAACCCTTTGCCATGAAAAGCGAAAGAGACAAAGAGCGCTAATTCAGATGGCACCGAGCACTCTGCAGCACGTGAAGCAAACCCCCCCAGGCAGGCTTCTTTGCCCGGGGTGACGTGTTTTTGGCTAGTCGTGCCTCTCCGATGACTTGTGCTTGAGGTGACTTGACAGCAAAACGCAAAGGGATGTTCCCATCTGGCAGCTGACCTCTCCAGCTGTATACGTTGCAGAACGAGATGCCAGCGGTTTTCCCACGTTGGAGCCCAGCCAGACTGGCAAGCAGGCGTAGAAGTTGTCCCTGCGATCCGTAAGGAGGTACCCCCCTCCCAGGCAGCGCCTTTGCGGAGAGCAGGCCTGGCCCATCCAGCTCTGCAGGGAGAGGGTCACGTCACCTGCCTCAGCCCCGCTGTCCCCCCCCGCCAAGTCCTACGTGTGCGACGGGGGTCGTCTCACCTCCTGCTGACTCTGGAGACCTCTCAGCCGGCGACTTCTGTGCCCCAACTCAGCCTCTGCTTCCTTCCCTGCAGGTGGGGAGGGCAGTTGGGTGTCCTCACGCCCTCGCTGCTCCCAGGGACCTGCCGCCCCCTTGCTCGTGTCACCAGAGCAGATGGGTCGTGGGAGCAGCCGTCCCGTGGATTGCAGGCCGTGGGGATGCTGCATGAACCATCAGGAGGGGCAGGTTTATGGGGGAAGGTTTATTGGCGGTAACAGCTGAATTCCTGTGGCATAGCGTGTGCCTGGTCCGACCACGTCCTTCGTTTCCTCACGTGGTTGTCAAGTTCTGGCTGCACTGTTTTAATGTGCATTAATGCACCTCTTCTGTTGTCCCCTAGCACGTTCTTGTGTGTGCGGGTGCAACGAGGATCCTTCGTGGTGCCAGGGGTCTCTGCTGCAGTGACAACGTTGTTGTTCACTGTTCGGGCCTCGTGTGCCCCATTGATGTGATTCTTGACAGGTGTTTCTTGTGAGCTGCTGTTGAAGTGTGAATTGCCCTGGTAGAGGCTAGTGAGAAACCTCTGGTTGATCATTTAGACAAGGTTGCTGCAATGGCAGGTGCCTTCTGAATGTCCAGTTAAGTCCTGCTCAGCCTTCTTGCCGTGAGCCATTGCCGGCAAAGCAAAAACCAGATTTTAGGTGCAAAGTCTGCTGTAGCATGTTGGATGGGCTTTTGGAAAGTCCTGTGGTGACGTGTCACAGTCCGCTGCGCTCCGGTTCTGGGGGAGGCTCCTGGCCCTTGGGACTCGTAATAGTGGCCCGGTTCCCCTGGTGGCTGCTGGCAGCCTGCTCCCTCCCCGTGTTGATCATCTGGTGCCTCGTGTCTCCTTGCAGGGATCCTGAAATTCCACGAGTGCTACCTGGGGGACAGCGCGGCGGAGAGCGCCGGGGACTTCCACGAAGCCAGCAGCGTCAACCTCCAAGCAACCACCAGCTCTGGGCTGGAGATGTACATCTCCAGCGTGCGAGAGGCACTGGGCGTGGACTCCTACTACACCCGGTGAGTTTGGGGTTGCCATGTTAGTTTTCTCCCTCCATCCTGGAAGTCCCTTATGTATCCTGGGGTGAGCTGAGACCCGGGAAGTCTGAAACCTCTGAGTGTGTGGGCTAGTTCTGCAAGGAGGCCTCCATAAGGTTGCCTCGCTGTGCATCCTCAGCCGTATGTGCTGCAGGTAATAGCTCTGTGCGTACAGACGGGCCTTGCACCCGCATGTTAGGGAGCTGGATGTCTCATCACTGCTGTGTGTGAGCAGATGCCATTCAGAGTTACCAGCGCCATTAGTTTTCCCTCCACAACTTGCCCAGGAGAGACTTGGTGAATCTTGGGAGAGCGTTAGGGGTAGAGCAGAGCAAAGACCTGGCAGCAGGCAGCCCATCTCACGAGTTTCTGCAAACAGGTCACGCCTTCCTCCCATTGCTTTGTTGTTCAGATGCGCCACACAAATGTCTTCGCACATTTTTTGCTCTGTGGATTGGTCATGAATATCCAAAATCCAAGCTGTGCTCTCAGTTGAGATGGGCCTGATGAGCCACACCAGATTGTTTTGGTTCCCGGCTGGCTGCGCACACAAGCGCTTCTGGTGTTGGTACTTCTATGTGCGAATGACACGTTGTTTTCTGCAAACACTTCAGTCTGCGGAGCGGCGTCCGGGATGTCTCCGCCCATGCACCTGCTCTGGGCCCAGACTGGTCATGTGGGGGGGCTGCTGGAAAGGAGACAGTGGCTCTTTTGCTTCTCTTTGAAATCTGCTGTGCGGTCGTAGCCGCCTGTGCTCTGAGCAGGTGAGTCGCTGCCTGCGGGCAGAAGAGCAAGTGTGTTCAAGGCGAAGTGGTGCTGGCCACCTCCGGCAGGGAGGCAGCAGCTTGCTGTTTTGCTGCGCCTGGATTGCACGGTCTGTTGTGACCTTGGACAGTCGCAGTGGCACTGAGAGCTGCCGGCAACCTGCCTGGTGCTGAGTCCCAAGTGGGGTGCCCCGAGGGCTATACAGTGACCAGAGCCAGGACTGCCATGGGCCTGGCTTGTCGGCTCGGGTCGTGTGTCAGCAGCCCTGTGTGCACGGGATCTGCCTGTGGCACAGACCGACTCACTGCAAGCTTGGAAAGCCACGGACTCTGCCCTGACAGAGCTACCCTGGGCCTGGCCCCCGAGAGCCAGGTGCTGCTGGAGGCGAGGGGGTCATCATCCAGGAGACAGGTCCTCCAAGAAGCTGATGGCTTGGCACAGAGAGGAGCTTGCAGCACGGAGCCAAGGAGCAGGCGCTGCTTGGGAGTTTGGGAGCCCCTGGGGGCGAGGTCCCTGCAGGGAACGGGGGGTCCTGGGAGGTGCTGGACGCAGGCCCTGAAGCGTGCCGGGAGGGGCTGAGTGGAGCCAGGCCCTGGCGAGGGCACCTCCCCATGCTGGCTTGGCCTCTGGTTGTCATGGGCCCAGGAGAAAACATCACCCAAAATGTGCGTGTGGGGGGTGGGTTATAATGTGGGGACATGCAGCCTCCTCTCCGTGCGGAGATGCCAGCACCCTCCTGCCTACACAGGTTTGGGCAACAGCCCTGAGGGCCACGAGCCAACTCCATGGGGCATCCTGGCACTGCAGCCGCATCCGTAATTGCACTTAATGAAGGTGACGTGTTTGAAGCGACACAGCCAGGGCTCCTAGGGCTGCCACAGACAGCAGAGGCCTGTTATTAGCCTTTGATGAGCTTGCACTAATAACACGATGTGTGATTCCTAATAGGCAGGGAGAGGTGGGACTGGCGCTTAACAGTCAGTCAGTTCCAATAAACGTGTTGGCAACACAAAGCTGCTCTCGCTGCTGCGCTCGGTAATTGCGCTGCCCTTTGTTCTGGGGCTGCTTTTCCAGCGGCGCTAATCAGCCGCCAGCGGGGATGGGATTCCCAGCGCCTGGTACCAACTCCCTGCCACCGGCTTGTCCGAAGGGATGCAATGGCTGGGACTGGTGGCTGCAGCACACCTGGCGGCCTCTCGCTCGGTTCCTGCGCCACACGTGTCCTCCGCTGGCGCCACGGTCTGCAGTGCGTCCCCGGCCCCACGCGGGGAGAGAACAGACATGCCCAGAGGTCTCTGCCGCCAGAGTGCCACCCTGCCTTGCTTCTTCAGCCACCTGAGCTCTTCTTCGAGCCAGGGAGCTGCAATCCACCTGCCGGCCGCAGCCATCTGAGCATGAGTGCAGGGTCTCCGGGCTGGTGCCCGAGGCCTGGAGGAGCACGTGGGCCCTTGTGAGTGGCAGGGAAAGCCCAGGACGGGGAGCCGTGTCCCAGCAGAGCTCGCAGGGACCAGTCTGCAGAGCCGTGGAGACCCGACCGGCCTGTGACAGTGGTTGGCCCTGTGATGGCTTCAGCTCAGGTGCTGTCGCCAGGAAAGCTCGTAGATGGAGACAGAAATTATAGCCCAGGACTTTCAGGCTCTGAATATTCATGGGCTGCTTGGAAGAGTCTTGGCAGCTGGCTCACAATTTATGAGCCGTTTATGAATGGAAATCTCTTCCCAATAGCCGCTGAGTTTGCATAGTCTGCAGGCCTGGCTGGAGCAACTGGCCTCCAGTCCAACCCGACCAGAAATGTCACCTGCGTTCCTGGAAAGAGGCCTGGCCAGGGCGCTGCCAGCCAGGGAAGGAGCTTGAACAGGGAGGCAGAGGTATTGGGACCATAAGGAAAACCAGATACGTAGTTTCTGCCTTTCAGTGGAAATCCGCCAAGTAAAACCCTGACCTGCTGCTAGAGAAATTACTTGAGGGTCCTTCCATTTCCTTGAGACTTTCCAGCCAGCTTTGTTAGCATTAAAATTATTAACTTAATCCTGGAAAAGCTAAACAAGTTGGGCAGTCTCTTCAGCGCATCACCGTCTGAAGACCCCGATGGCTGTAAATCTTGGCGGCAGTAGGCTGTAACACAAACACGCACTGCTCGACGGGCAGAACGCAAGCACGCCAAGAGCCACGTGTGACCCATGTGGGTTGCGAGCGGGGGGAGAAGGTGATCCCCAAAAATCAGAGACCAAAGTGTTTGGCCTCCCAGGTGTGTTGACTGGTACAAAGGCAGAAGGGAGAACGGGAGGACAGAGACCAGCAAAACGTAGCTCGGTGGCAACAGACATTGCGTGCCTACAAGACGGCTGATTGTAGCTGTTCTCTGCCGGGCTGCCCAGGTGTCCACGCAGGGGTGGGATGTTGGCGGAGTCCATGTGGTTCGTGTAGCTTTTGAGCTGGGAAAAGGACGCAGGCTTTGAGGCTGAGGCATACTCCCATGCAAAGAATTAAAAAGCTCCACTTGTTCATTGGGAAGAGTTATTAGGACAAGGAAAGAAGGTGCAAACCCCGGTTACAGGAATTCCCAGCTCTGAAATGCTCTTTGTGGCACTGGAGCAGAAGACTAGAAAACCCCTTCCGAGGGGATCCTCGATCCTGAGCTGTGGAATGAGCCTGTGCAAGGCAGGGGCCCGGAGCTCGTGTGCCCGTGGGCTCCCATCGCATTCGCTGTACCCAGATATTAGTTGCCAGCCTCATGTGCACTCCCTGTTTGCACGGATGCGTTCTCATCCCACACCCTCATCTGGGGAGCCAGCATGCCAGCCATCCCAGCGATCCCGAAAGCCCAAGCATTGCAATGCTGCGCTCTTGTACTTGCTCTACTGCTTTTGGAGCCTTTCTGGGTCACGCGTACCAGCTCTCCGCAGCTGGACAGGCTTCAAACGTGTTTCCTGGTCCCAAGCGAGAGCTGAGACTCGTGGGAGGACGCGAGGCTCCAGATGCTGGAGTTTGTGGGGGGAATACCAGGTGTGTTGCAGGGTGGCAGAGCTGAGAGCGAGCTGCTGTCTCCTGCTGCCCTCTTCCCAGGCTGACCGTGTGCATTTTGTACCTCCGTCCCTCTCGCCGCCACTCGGAGCAGTGCCCGGTGTGACAGTGTGCCCCGGCTCTGCTGGAAGCTGGCGCTGGAGCTGCCGATTGGGCTGGTAGGGCACGGCAGGCGGCCCTGGGCAGGTCCTGGGAGAGGCAGAGGCAGGGGACAACAGGGATGGGAAGGGCTAAGTGAGAGCTGTGGAGGGTGGTTTTCCCCAGGCCCCCAGCGAGACCCCACCGGCCTGAGCCCAGACTTGTGGGGGCTCCAGTCTCACTGCATCAGGCTGTGGCTTTGCACCTAGGGCCTGCCGTAGGTGTGAGCATTGGGATCCAGGATCCATCAGGTGGGCCACAGGCAAATCCCGTGGAGGATGCCAAGGCAGGAGGAGGGAGGGGGTTCTCCTGACACAGGCTCCAGCCAAGGTCCCCCACACTGCTCCCCCTTCTCCCTGCTTGGCCCTGGCGAAAGTTTGCCAGGGAGCTTCCGGTGACCCCTTTTCCCTGCTGTCCCCCCGCAGAGCCTGCGCCAGCAGTGAGACGGAGAGCGAGGCCGGGGACATCATGGACCAGCAGTTTGAGGAGATGAACAACAAGCTGAACTCGGTGACGGACCCCACCGGCTTCCTGAGGATGGTCAGCAGGAACAACCTCGTCAACAGGTGGGTGCATGGGCCTGCTGCCAGCACAGCCAGGGATTTCTGGCAGCGTCACCCAGCCTGGAGGGGAGCGGCGAGCGTGCCTCTCCCATCGCTGTGGCTGGGCCGGGAGCGCTGCCTCCAAGGAGGGGCGGGTGCCGGGGCAGTCCCTGGGGTGCTGCCCTCTTCACGGAGCGGGGGCCTGGCTCCCCTCCATCGGGGATCGCTCTCCTGGCCACGCCAGCCCGCAGCATGGAGGCCTGGGAGGGACCTGGCAGCCTGCCACGAGCGGGGCTTTCTCCTCGGCTTTGACCCACAGTTAGTGGTGTCGGGGGACAGGGCGGCTGCTGGACACTCACGTCCTTGGGGGACTTAGCCTTGGTTTTTGCCAGCAGAGCCATCTGGTTCAGGGCCGGCCACTGACCAGGTGTCGGGGAGGTGGTTGGGACAGTGGAGGGAGCGAGATGGCTGCGGTCAGTCCCCCAGGGCTGTCGTGGGGAGTGTGCAGCTGGCACCCTGATATCTCCAACCCCTCCGGTGTGCGCGGCTCTGGGGCAGCCGGTCCAGCAGTCTGGCCCCCGTGGCAGCGAGACGCAGCTGGGTGCTGGGCGCGCTGTTTGTTTGCAGGCTGCAAACGTTTGCTTCCCATTGATTTTAACTATCACACTAATGAGCTGGGAATGCACGGTGTCACCTCCGTAGCACCGGCTGATCTCAGCCTCTCGCGCCTCGCGCTGATCGCAGCAGGTGTCTGAGCTGGAAGTGCACGGGGTCACTGCGCCCCAATGAAGATGCTGCAGCCTCCATGTAGCGTCTGAGCATGGGGGGCAGCCTGTGCCCTCGGGGGGGGGTGTCTCCCTTGTGCCCTACACCCGCTTGCTGCCCCAGGGCCAGCCTGGTGCCCAGAGCACGTGCCTGTGCGGGGCCCAGCTGGCTGCAGCATCCTAGCAGCCGGCCAGCCAGGAGGCCCCAACATCCCCGTTGCAGGCACTGGAGCCCGGGTGAGGCGGTCACCCCCGAGGCCGGAAGCCAGGCGAGGCTGTGGTGCCGGTGCTGGGGAGTGCCATGCAGCCAGCCCCTACAAGCAGCTTCAGGCTTGATAAGACAGCGGAGGGGTGTCTGGCTGCCCCGGACGAGGCGGGGGCCCTGGGAGGCAGATAAAAGCGCTGGCCAAGGAGCCCTTATCTCCTTGGTCCGGTGCCAAGCCAGACACGGTGTGGGGCCGTCTGAGCACGGGCCGAGGGCTGGGTGGTCTGTGGGTCCCGGCGGTCAGGGCAGGTTGTGGAGGCTCGGGGTGCAGCTGTGGGGAGGGGGCTACACTGCTGTCACTGCTGCCCCGAGCGAGGGCCCGGCTGGGGTGCGCACGGTGCACCCCTGGGTGCAGAGGCAGTCTGACCGCCTCAGGGTCATCGTGGGTGCAGCCCAGCTCAGCCCAGCCGAGCCGAGGGGCTGCTTCCCCACTCCCGCCCCCAGCGCAGTGTCCATGCGGGAGACCAGCCCTGGTTTCTGTGGGGCCTCGTGCTCCCACCCACGGGTCTGTCCCGTGCACACAGGGCATGCAGCAGGCTTGCACCGGGGATGCATCGGGGCTTCTGCGGTCCCCAGACAAGGGCAGATGCAGCAACCCCGAGCCCCAGTCTCCCCCTTCCCCGCAGTGGTGGGAAGCCCCCAGGGGTAGTATTGGCTTGGCACAGCAGGGCCTGGCAGGGCAGAGCTGGTGTGCGGCAGGAGGTGCCAGCGCTCTTGGGCTTGCACAAAGGGACTGTTGTCCCCCCATCCTCCTCGCTGTCTCTTGCCCACACGAGGAGCCGGGACATCAATCTTTGATGTTGTAGCCTCAGATGTGGCCTAATAAAAACCCATCTGAGTGGCGAGCTGGGGCAGCGGGGCTGCGTGGCTTCGGGGCGGTCCTTTCAAGATGACGGCAATGCTGCTGATTAGAGCAATCGCACTCCCCGGGAAACGAGGCCCGATGGTTGCGAGAGGCTCGCGAGTGCCATCTGCAGGCACCGTGCTCCTGCCAGGCCAGGCTCCATCCGTCCGAGCCGCTGCGGGGCATTGGGGCTCAGGCCCGGTCAGCACCTGCAGGGCGGCCATCGGCCCCAGGCCTGGCCTGGCCTCTGCGCAGCCCGAGCTGGGTGCTGCTCTGTGTCTGTCCATGTCCAGGGGCCCTCGGAGGTCCCTGCTCCTCCCCAGCCCCAGCAGCCTGGTCCGGACCCCATGCTGCCTGGTGAGCCAGCTCCCAGGAGCCATTGGCGGGAGAAGGTGCTGGGCAGATGCGTTTGGGCGGTTTGCACCGCAGCAGCGAGGATGCCGGGGGCTGATGGGCTGCTCTCCGCGGCAGCAGGGCGTGGGTGTATGTGGGGCTGCAGCTGACTCCCAGCGCGGGGGACGGGAGCTGCCCCCCTCAGCCGCAGCGAGCATGAGCACGCCTCCCCTGCCCGCGCCCCAGCTGCCCGGTGCCACTGCCTGCTCTCGATGCCACCCTGCTCGGCGCCACGTGGGACTGAGCAGGAGGATCCAGCCGGGCCAAGATCTGGTTCGTGGGACCCAGCCCTGCCTGCATGGGCGGTTGGGGGGATCCGGCTCTCCTGTGCCTGCAGGTAACCTTTCGCTTGCCTCCTCTCCGCAGGAGCTGTCAGAGCATGACCAGCCTGTTCAGCAGCACCATGTCGCCCATGAAGGACGGGGCGTCCTCCCTGCCCCGGCGCCAGGCCCCTTTCAGCAAGCCTCCACTGCGGGCGCTCTACGACCTGCTCGTTGGGCCCATGGAGGGGGTGAGTACATGCCTGGGGAGGGCAGGGGGAGTCTGCAGGGGCCAGGTCTTGGGCCTGGCACGCAGAGCCAGACCATGCCTGTCTCCCCAGCCTGGCACACCTCTGCCCCGGGCTTCCCACTGGCCAGTGGTGGGGAGGCCTGGGCAGCGGGTCCTGCTCAGAGACCCCAGAATGGTGCTGGGACGGGTCAAGTCCACGCCTGGGCAGCCCTGGGAGCTCAGGCTGGTGAGGGTGAGGCCCTGCAGCTCCATGCGAGGCGCTGACTGCTGCGACCAGGGCTCCTCTGAGCTCGGACTGAGGAGTGATCTGCCCGGTGGGTCACTGGGTGGCTCGTGGTCACTGATGGGTCAGCTCCCTGTCCCCAAAAATGTGCATCGGACGTGGGGGCACAGGCTTCCCGCCACAGCTCCTGTCTGCAGCTGGCCTGTGCCTCCCGCACCCTCGCCAGGTCTCCAAGGCCTTGGCGGCTGCGGCCCCTTCCCTTCCCTTCATCCCCCTCCGAGCTCTGCCTCCTGCTGCCCGCGGCCGCCAGCACCTTCAGCCTCGGCTGCGTCCTTCCTCCAATGAGGCGACAGCGCGACGGAGCATCCTAACCCGGCACTCATGGAGGGCATTAATAGCCTGGCCTGATTTACACCCTGTGCCGAGGCCAGGGGAACATGAGTTATGCCTCTGGCACGTGAGTCTCCGCTCCTTTCACTGCTGCTGGGAGCGTGCAGACAGGGGCCGTGAATCACATCCCCGCTCCCCAACACGTGGTCTCTAGGTGTCCGAAGGGCATCGGCTGCAGCCCTGGCCCCAGAGACAGGGATGACCTGGAGGAGTCGGCGGTAGGGCACTGATGTGCAACACAGCACAGGGGCCTCAGCAGCTGAGGACAGTTTTGACATAGGGTCTTGCTGAGAGGTGCGAGAGGCAGGGAGGGCGAGCTGATGCCTGGTGTCCTCCGGCAGGGTGACGCCTGCCAGCTGCGGCCTCAGGAAGGTCTGCGATGCTGGCCCAGGACAAGGGGGCTGTGACGGTGCCGGCGGGCTCACACAGGCCTGCGGGGTGGGTCGGGAGGTGCCCCACGCACTCAGCTGACGTCTCGGAGGTCAGAGGTTTGACAGCACGCTGAGTCAGGAGACATCTGTGCTAGTGGAAGCAGGAAATCTGTGAAGGCCGGAGAAAAGGCTCCCTTTCCTTGCTGGCTTTGCTCAGCTCTGCCCCCTGATGCCAAGCCTGGTGCACAGCTAGGTCCCAGGTTCCTCCGTGCGCCGCTGGAGGGCAGTGCCGCACCGCCGAGGCCAGCCGGCTGCAGGGCTCCTAGATGGAGCAGGGGGCTGGCGGGGTTCAGCCTTTCAGTACAAGTAGTGGAAGGAGGAGTCCAGGGCAAAAATCGCAGCCACCTCCAGACTGCGGGGATTAGTCCCGTCACGCCGGGCTTGTAATTATTTGAACAACTGTCTGCTCGGCAGCAGGGCCGCGGCTCTGGGGCCAGGGAAGCAGAGCGGAACAATCCCCCGCCCCGGGCACCGCGTCGCAGCCTGCTGCGATTCGTGCCCAAGGGGTGCGCGCTGCCTTCGAACACGCTGTCCTCTGCTGTCAGCCTGGCGGCCGCCCCGGGACCATCATCTGCAGGAGCCCGCCCTGTCGTCCTGCGCATCGGCTGTCGCCGCGCATCACGTCAGCCCTCCTCATCCCTGGCGGAGAGCAGAGGGGGCCGCGCTGCTGAGGCAGCTGCCTCTGAGAGATGTCGTGCGGGCCTGGGAAGCGGGCGGCAGGGGCATGCCAGGTCCCCAGGTCACTGTCAGCCATGTGGTCAGGGGTGTCGGAGGGAGTCCTGTCTGCTCAGAGATGCCCTGGGAAGCGACTGCAGCAGTGCCAGGCACCACTCGCATGCCCTGCCGCTTTCTAGCCAGCCCGCAGCCCAGGCTGCACCAGGGGATGCCCCTGCTGCCATGCTGGGGGCCTGGGAGAGCTGAGCTAGGTGTGCGTGGGGTCAGAGACCCTGGTGCTGCAGCCTAAGGAAGGTCCCAGCCCTTTGCAGTTCCAGCGCCCTTGTCCCGGGCAGCCCCTTCTCCTGTGGGGCAGCCCCCACTGCATGTTGGGATCTGGTCCCTGGGCACGGCGGGGGAGGAGGCACCGGAGCCGCGGGATCATTGCAGCGGCTGTTGGCTGCTTGCTCTTAGCCGGCAGACACGGGAGTCCTTGTCCTGCTGTCTTGCTCCCTGCCCTCCTCTTGCTGACGAGTCAGGTGCTTGTGCCCTGCTCGAAGGCTGTGCCCAGCAGGGAGGGACAGGCCCGACTGGCTGCGCCAGGGCTCTGGCCCAGCCCCTGGCAGGGGCAGCGCGGCCACAGTGCAGGCTAGAAGGAGGTAGCCGGCCTCCTGAGAGCCACGGGCTGGCCAGGGCTCTGCACATCGCCAGATCTCAAATAATCTGATGCTGGAGCTTGGCTTCTGCCCTGCTTCTCTGGCCAAGGACGGTCTGGAGCAGGGGCTGGGCAGCTGGACGGCCCAGTCCTCTCAAGGGCAGTCGTCGCCACTGTCTATCACGGCGCTGGCTGTTAGCAAGGTCGGCGGCTCATCAGCACTCCAGCTAACAGCACAGTTGCCTCCCAGCAAATCATGTCATCGCCAATGCAGGCGATAACACGGCCTTTCCTGCCCCTGCAACCGGCTGAGCACCGGCCCAGGGGCCCGTGTCCTTGGCTTGCTGCAAGAGCACAGGCACCCAGGGCCCTGCCGTCCAGACCTTGCCCCCCAGCTCTCGCCAAGCAGAGGCTTGTTGTTTGGGCACCCCCTGAAGCCAGCTCTGAGATGGGCCCAGGATGTGCAAACAAGCCCAGCAGTTGTGCGGGTCTCCCCCTGACGTGCACGCAGCCGTCACGCAAAGCAGATGAAACTCCAGGGGGTCTCACGCAGTGCGCGCGTTCGGCCAGGCACATGTCAGGATGGCTCAGGCGGCCCCGTGCCGCGGCCCACGGCTTGGGCTGCAGAGCAGCGAGTCAAACAGAATACATAAAGAAAACATTTCTGGAAGACAACAGCCCCCCGGCAGGCAGCCTCGGCTTGTCAGCTCGGTCTCTGCAGAGCGGCGAGATGGAGGCGAGGCGGCGCATTGAGCTGCAGAGCACGCAGGCCGGCTCGCCACGGGCCCCGCGCCGGGGAGACCTCCCTCCAGGAGCCGCTGGTGCTTGTAAACAATATGTCAGGATGGAGCGGATGCTCTTCCCGGGAAGGCCCCCGAGGCAGCCGGGTGTCAGAGCGACTGACCCCACATCTCTGCCTCTCAGCGGCACAGCGGGGTGATCTCGGAGCTGCCAGGAGGGCAGGAGAAACAGCGAGAGGCCAGTGACTGTTTTTAACGCCAGCTAAAAGAGAATTTCCTTTTTCTTCGGCGGCTCCGTTCCCATTTTGATAGGAAAGGCAGTGCCTTGTTCATGGTTTCTCTCTGGGAAGCTGCTGCGACTGCCTCTTGTTGGGGTGCGGCGCGGCCTCGGGCAGCTTTTGGGACGCAGCGAGGGTGACTTCAGTTCCTCTCCCAGCGTCGGTCTCTGCAGCTGCCGGTGGGTCGAGACCGCCGTGGTAGAGCCCTGCTTCTCTTGGGGTCGCTCCCATGGGGCAGGGCAGAGAGCTGAGGGCCAGGATGGAGGTGAAGACCTGGCACCACCCAGAAAACTCACCAGATCCTTCTCTGAAGGTGTGTGGCCGCTGGGTCTTGCTTGCAGAGAGGTGGCTCCGTATGTGTTTCCAGCGTGTCCAGGCATCCATGGCTGGCCACCACCTAACCCCTGTGTTTCCAGACCTGGTGCGTTCACTGGCAGGTCCCTGCCAGCCATGTCCTGCCTGGGGTGGGGACGGGCTCTGCAGGGTGCAGCCCAGGTGGAAACACCCTCTGAAGCAAGGCACTTAACAAGGCCGAGGGACAGAGCATACAACATCCAGCCCAGCGCACCGGAGTGGACAGGCATGTGCCAGCTTTCTGCGGTTACAGCCAGTGAAACACAAGCACCGATGCTTCAACCCAGCGGCTCCGGTGGGGAGCAGGCAGGCGGGGGAGACGGGGGTGCAGCACAGGACGCCGCACCGAGAGGATACGGGCAGCGGCGTCCTGGCTTGCTGGAGGGGTCGTCTTTGTCCTGTCAAGACCGATGCTGGCAGCGGCTGAAGGCAGCGGCACGGGTGTTGCTCAGGAGAAACTAGAGCCCTGGTCTCCATCCTGCGCTGGAGGCAGCACCCTGAGCATGTGGATCTGGGTGACGCCAGAATGGGTCAGGGTGGTGGCAAGGTCCCAGCAGGGCAGGCAGGAAAGCTCCACTGTCAATGGGCAGACAGGCGACCGGCCCGTGGCACCGGCTGCTCCAACACGCGGGCAGTGAATGGCTCACTAACGGGTAGCGACTGCGGGTTGGCTGCTCTGGACTGGCCAGATGGAGGCACCGCTTCCATGCTGCCTGTGTCACGCGTGACCGGCAGGCTCCTGGTTTTGGGGGGCGGCGGAGGTGGAGTCCAGTGAGCTTGGAGCAGCCGGACCGGAGAGATGAAAGTGGAGGTCGCATACCTGTAGCGACGTGGTGCCGGGACTGGCACGTGCCCAGCGCTGTTGAACTGGACGGCCAGAGATGTATCCCCCGGCAGTTCAAAACTGGTCGCGGCAGATGCCGGGGAAGGTCTGACAGGGTGGACGACTCCAGGGACACGCAGGTCAATGCTGTCCCGGTAGAGCACCCGCGCCCACCACTGTCAGAGGCGGGGCACGGGGTAGGTGGGCTGCTGGTCCGACCCAGTTTGGCGCTGCTGACATTTCTGCACCGTACGTGCCCTCCAAGTCCTGCTGTGCTGGGCAGCAGCCTCCCCACCCCCAGGTGGTCTCCGTGCAGGGCCCTTTGCAACATGGGGAGACATTGATGGCAAGCGTGAGCAGAGGGTTGTGTGGCCTCCAGCACTGCAGGTGCCTGCACGAGGCTTTGGTGAGGGGAGGCGATGAACTGATGGCCGCAGGCCACCCAGCCCCTTCCACCCGCGTCGTGCGCGGAGCCTGGCCGAGGCACGCGGCCAGGGGCCTGCCTGGCATGTCAAGCAGTGCCTCTGCCTGGTGCTTGCTTTCTGGGAGGCAGCTAATTGTCCGGTTCGATCATAAAGTTCGTGGGGTCTGGAGCGGCCTGAGGCAGCTCACGTGGCAGCGAGGCCCTGAGGTTGTCTCTGCCTTTCCTCCTTTCTCTATGGGCAGGCACCAGAAGCAGCACAGTTTAAAAATGCCGCGACCTCACGTTCTCCAGAATCCAGTGATGTTTTGTCCAAATTTCAAACGCGGTCAGAAAGATAGATTTTGTTCCATCAAACAGCTGGCGTGCAAAAAGTTCCCGGTTTCAACCGTCCGTCCCCCGCTGGCCCTGCCCATGTGCGCCGGGTCCTTCGCTGGCTCCCGCAGCAGGTGCGAAGGCTGCGTCCTCTGTCTGGCGGTCTGCGGAGGGAGGCGCGGACAGCACGCGGGCATCGAGTGGGAGGGGAAGGGTCAGGCTGGAGCAGGTGTTAGGAGGGGACCAGGCCGGCAACTCGCCAAGTGGCTGCCAGCCTCTTGTGGCTGTAGGGAAGCGAATCCCCCGCCGGCGCTTCTGGCCAGGGTTCCTCTGCACAGGAGCAAAGCAGCACCTCCCGGTCCTAGCGAGCTGCCAGGCATCAGCCAGCCCCGAGGTGCCAGGACAGGGCCGCTGTGCTCTGCTGGATCGCGGTCGGGCTGGGACATTGCTGTGGCCGCGGTGGTGTGCAGGGAGTAGGCGAGAAGCAAAGGCTTTATGGTGCTGTCTTTACTATTTATATCTTGGGGCCAGTCAAAAATAACTCCCCAAACCCCTGCAGAGCCATGGTTTTTCATGGAGGTTTCCAGGCAGCAGGCAGGGGCCTGGAGCACCCAGTGCCCCCGCACGGGGCCTGGGAAGGTGGCGCTGCTGGCGGGGGGCTGAGAGCTGTCGTGTGTTTCCTTCCCAGGGCCTGATGCACTCCAGTGGCCCCGTTGGCCGGCACCGCCACCTGATCCTCGTTCTCGAGGGAGAGCTCTACCTGATCCCCTTCGCCCTCCTGAAGGGCAGCTCGTCCAACGAGTATCTCTATGAGCGCTTCAGCCTCATCGCTGTCCCCTCCATCCGGTCTCTGAACCCCAGCTCCAAGGTACTGCGCTGGCCCCCTGCCCAGCAGAGCGGGGCTCTGTTTGCATCACACAAAGGAGCCCTGCCCTGCTCTGCCCTGCCTTGTCCCAACTTGCGGCACCAAGGAGACCCCCAGGGATCGCTGCCTCCCCCCGTTACATTGGCTGAAGCACCGAGCCCACAGTCCAGCACCTCCCCAGGGCATGTGCTTAGCCCTGCTGCACGCACTGAGCAAAAGGGCCTTCAAAGATGTATCCGAGCTAGCCCTCATCCAAGGAGCTTGTGTGTCCATGCTCTTGGGCTGGCTGCCGGCTTGGACCAGGTCTCCCAGGTCGCTACGTGTGGGTCCTGCACCCGCTGTCCCAGCAGCGTGGAGCTGCCAGTGGTGCCTTCTGCCATGCCGGCCATGCTCCTGCAGCCATACGGCTGAGGGCAAGTGAAACCCAGGGGTATCCAAACCCCAAGCCTCCAGGTTTGGGCTTGCACATAGGATGCTTGCCAAGCGATTTGGAGGTGGGGGTGGAGGATGTTTGCCAGTAGTAGGGCCAGATATGGTTCTTGAATGACTCACGAATTTGGAATTGATTTGGCGGATTTGGCTTAGGACACAAAATTTTCCTTAAAAAAAAAAATAAGGGGGGCGGGCTGCACGGGTCAGTCCTGACACCGGAAGTGAATCCAGGGCAAATGGCTTTCCTTCCACACGCGGCTGCAGCCCTCTGTTAGCGCAAGCCCAGGAGCCTTGCTCGGATGCCGCCTGCCTCCCTGCTGTGAGGAGCGCAGCTGTCCCCATGGACGGAGGACCTCCCCGTCCCAGCGTGGCCCCCAGGCGGGTCTGGCGTGTGAGAGGAAGAAAGCTTGGCTTGGGTGTGCGGTGCGGCTCATGTTCCCATGTTCAGTGTGACCCTGGATAGGGGATGTCTCCTCTCCCTGGATCTGTGTGCTCACCCCGCTATATGCACTCCGCACAGTGATTCCCCTGCCCCTCCCGGGAGCTGGCAGGCAAAGCCTCCTGCGGGCTTGGATGGGAGGAACGTGGGGCCAGCAAAGTGGTGACAGAAAGAAGGAAGCTGCCCTGCTGTGGAGAGCCGAGATGGCCCCAGGGCCCCTCAAACCCTCACTCCATGTGCAGACCTGGTGCAGGCCCTGGGCTCGCCGGCGGCTCTGTAAGCTCCGCTGTCTCTGTCTCTGTCTCTCCAGTCCCACCTGAGGAAGAACGCCCCTGCCTACTCCAGCTCCACCTCCATGGCAGCCGTCATCGGCAACCCCAAGCTGCCAGCCACCGTGATGGACAGGTGGCTGTGGGGACCCATGCCGTCCGCGGAAGAGGAGGCCTACATGGTGTCAGAGCTGCTGGGCTGCCAGCCCCTGGTGGGCGCCGCAGCCACCAAGGAGCGGGTCATGAGCGCGCTGTCGCAGGCAGAGTGCGTGCACTTCGCCACCCACGTCTCCTGGAAGCTGGCCGCCCTGGTGCTCACCCCCAATGCCGACAGCAACCCGGCCAGCAGCAAGAGCTCTTTCGGCAACCCCTACACCATCCCCGAGTCCCTCCGTGTGCAGGACGATGCCAGCGACGTGGAGAGCATCTCGGACTGCCCGCCCCTGCAGGAGTTCCTGCTCACGGCCGCCGACGTCCTGGACCTGCGGCTGCCCATCAAGCTCGTGGTGCTCGGCTCCTACCAGGAGTCCAACAGCAAGGTCACAGCCGACGGGGTCATCGGTCTGACCAGGGCCTTCCTGGCGGCCGGCGCACAGTGTGTCCTGGTGTCGCTCTGGCCCGTGCCCGTGGCTGCCTCCAAGATGTTTGTGCATGCCTTCTACTCCGCCCTGCTCAACGGCATGAAGGCCAGCGCCGCCCTCGGCGAGGCCATGAAGACCGTGCAGAGCAGCAAGCCCTTCTCCCACCCCTCCAACTGGGCAGGTAGGTGAGGGGGCCGCGTGCATGATGTGGGGGCAGCGAGCGGGCAGCTTGTGCGGCATGGGCTCATCTCCGTGGCAGTGTGGGGAGGAGCTGGTGCCAGGGAAGCCCCACTGGGTCTCCACCCGCAGAGAGCAGCCCTGTACCCTGCGGCACGCTCAGACAGGTACGGGGCTCTGGCCGACGTGCCTGAGGCAGCACGGCAGAACGGTCTGCTTCCCACGAGCGCGCAGGGCGCGTTCAGGCGATTTCAGATGGGGATGTGTGTTTAATGATGTGCTATACTGTGAAAGGGCCCAAATCTTCCAGGGGTGCGGCACACAGGAGTGGGCCTGTTTGCCCTGCCTTGTACCTGGGCTAGGCCCTGCCAGAGTCCATCCCCACCCAGAGGGCAGCGGGCATTGTTTCTGTCCTGGGTGCGAGGAGGGATGTGCTTGCTCTGCCCCACAGGCTTCGTGCTCATTGGGAGCGACGTGAAGCTGAACAGCCCATCCTCGCTGATCGGGCAGGCGCTGACGGAGATCCTGCAGCACCCCGAGAGAGCCCGCGACGCGCTGCGTGTCCTGCTGCATCTGGTGAGGCAGAAGCAGCTGCCCCGAAGGCCCCATAGCCCAGCTCGGGGCAGGGGGGCTGGAGGTGCCACCTAAGGGGACGGGAGCCGGGGGCAAGCAGCAGGATGCAGGGCAGGATACGGTGCCTTCTGCTCTCGCCTGGCTGGCACGGGGGGCAGGGGTCCCTTAGCACCAGTCTCCTGCAGCCGCCACATTGACAGCTGCTCCCTGGCAGCAAGCCCCAGGCCCAGGAGGCTGCAGACATGGCTCCTTACTGATCTCCTGGGGCAGACGTGGCCGGCAGCTTGCAGGGGATCCTCCCGGGGCAGTGCCCCCCTCCCAGCCCACGTAAACCCCTCTGCCTGGGGGCTCTGCAGCCCCTGCCCTTGCAGTGCGGCCGTGGGCCAGGCATGAGCGGACTCTTGTTCCTGGGGCCTGGCCCCTTCTTCCCTGCTGACATCGCCCCTCGATCCGGGGGACACGGGAGCGGCCGGAAAGCTCCGGCAGACCCGACTAACACTGCCTTTCCCTCTGGAGGTGGAGAAGTCGCTGCAGCGAATCCAGAACGGGCAGCACAACTCCATGTACACCTCCCAGCAGAGCGTGGAGAACAAAGTGGGGGGCATCCCGGGCTGGCAGGCGCTGCTCACAGCCGTGGGCTTTCGGCTGGACCCCCCTGCCAGTGGCCTCCCCGCTGCCGTGTTCTTCCCCACCACGGACCCTGGGGAGCGGCTGCAGCAGTGCAGCACCACCATCCAGTCCCTCCTCGGTAAGGAGCTGGCCGGTGGGGCCGGGCGTCGCGGGGCTCAGCCGGCACGTCGCCCCTGCGCCCAGCGTTGGGGGAGGGGGCAGGAGAGGCAGATCATGCCCCTCGGGAGCTCTTGGGGGCGAGAGGCTGAGCTCAGCAGCCGGCCTGTTCTCCTTCTGCCCAGGTTTGCCTAACCCTGCACTTCAGGCACTTTGTAAGCTGATCACTGCATCGGAAACTGGAGAGCAGCTCATCAACCGGGTGAGTCGAGCTCGTCAGCCCGTCGCCCCGGCTTCCAGGCGCTTCCCCCCAGCAGCCTCGGGGAACACACTGCCCCTTTCCCACCCTACTCGGTCTGCCCAGCGCCCCTCTGCCTTCCCCTCCCGTCTATCTGCTACCCTTGCCCAGTGGCTCTGCTCTCTGTCCTGATGACCCCCGCCTGGCTGGCTGGTGCCTGCGCCCCAGCAGCTGGCTTCTGCCGCCTCCGTCCCGTGCTGATCTGCCCCAGCTGGGGCAGGGACGCATGGCAGCTGGCACGGGGGTCTCTGCCGCTGGAGTGGGGGCATGCAGCGCAGCGCTGTGCTCTGCTCAGCCGGTGCCCTGGGTTTGCCTGTGCAGGGGCTGAGATGATCGAGAGCCCGCCGGCCAGCACTGCTCCTTTCCCTGCTCTGCCTTCTGCCTCTGAAACCTCTGGGTGCTGCTGGCGTCCCCCTCGCTTCCGAAGGACACGAGGGCTGGAAGGGGCCCGGGCACGTTGCCTAGTCCAGCCCCTTGCCAGGCAGGGAAAGGGCAGGCATTGAAAGGGCTCCCGACTGTCTGAGCCCATCCTCTGCGGAGGAGCACCACGGGCAAGGGCAGGTGCTGGGGACTGCTGGACATGTTGAGTGTCAGTGCCACGGGAAGCATGGGGGGCTGCGTGTATCCAGACCTGAATCCCTGCCTGGGCGGCACTGGTGCATCCCTGTGGGAGCTTCCAGGTGCCTCCTCCCCGCACGCCTGGTGCCCTCAGCCTGACCCGTCGCGTCTCCTGCTCTGCGCGCTGTGGCCGGCAGCCGGCTGGCGGGCCCGAGGCCTGAGATGTTGCTGTCCTGCAGTGCTCCTCGTCCCGGGCCCATCACAGCAAAGACTAACCTGTGTTCTTTCTTTCTTCTTTCTCTCTTCCCCTCTCCCTTTCTTGCTCTCTGCTGCATGAAGGCTGTTAAAAATATGGTGGGAATGGTGAGTACCGCACGTGGCAGGGCAGGGCAGGCCGCACCTCTGCAGGCTGCCCCCGAATTCTGGCACGCGTCGCCTCTCATGTGCCACTGGCGCTTCCCCCAGGCTCGCAGGCACAGGGACGTTGGAGCTCCTCGGGTTCAGGGCACGGTGGGGCCAGGAGCAGCAGTGGTCCTTGACTCGCTCCTCACCCTGGCTGTCTTCTCTGCCCCTTTTGGTGCTGATGCTGCTCTGCGGAGCACCAGCTGGGAGCGGGCGCTGCGGCCCAGGACAGGTCGGAGGGGCTGGGAATGGTGGGCAGCTCCTCTGGGAGCCCAGAGACATGCAACACAAACCTCGTGCTAGTGCTGAGCTGAGAAACGAGGGCGGCTGGAGCTCCCTCGCGCCCTGCGAGACTGCTCGGCCCGGCCACGGCCTTTCACCCGTGTCTCTGAGGAGCTGCTGCACGCCACCTTCCTCTCCTGTGCTCCTGCTGCTTTCCTGCTGTGCTTGCAACCCTGGCCCTCTGGCTCTGGCAACAGCCTCTTCCCCCAGTGCCTCCCTCTCAGGGCCCACGATGGCAGTGACGGGCGGGTCCCGGGGCCTGTTCTCTTACCATGCCGGGCAGCGCCTGGCCTCGTGTGGGAACCGGGGCGTCAGTGCCGAGGGGAGCAGGACAGTGCGGGAGGGCTGATGTTTGTTCTCTTCCCTCAGCTGCATCAGGTCCTGGTTCAGCTTCAAGCAGGAGAGAAGGAGCAGGACTTCTCCACGGCGCCCATCCAGGTGTCCATCAGCGTCCAGCTCTGGCGGCTCCCAGGCTGCCACGAGTTCCTGGCAGCTCTAGGTGGGAAGCCCCCAGCTTCTGTTTGCTTTTCAGCCACGGCTGTGGTCTGGCATGGGGAGGGGAGCTGGATCCCCAGCCTGCTCTGTGCCACCGTTACACCATGCTGGTCTCAGAGCCTCTTCCCAGGACCCCTGCCCCAGCCGGCATGGGCAGGGATCCCTCTCCTGGTGCTGGCCTCTTGCAGGGGGTCTTCCGGGGCTGGCATCCCCGTGGCTGGCTGGGTGGGAGCATGCAACTAACAAAAGGGCGAGGTGGGTGCGTTGGGTGAGAAACGGCTCTGGGCTCTGTGTCCTCTGCAGGGTTTGATCTCTGTGAAGTCGGGCAGGAGGAAGTGATACTGAAAACCGGGAAGCAAGCGAATCGCAGGACCATGCACTTTGCTCTCCAGTCCCTGCTGGCACTTTTTGGTAACGCCACTCGTGCTCGTGTGCTCCCATCCCTTGGGCACGGGGTGGGCCACGGCCTGATAGGCGGGTGCTGTCGTTTCTGGTGCCAAGGTGAGGGAAGCTTCGCCACAGCAGCAGATTCTGGTGCTTGCTTACACCAGGGCCCTGTACGGTATTTCCATACCCAGGAGTTGGCACCAGAGACCTGCCTGGGGAATCGGGCCCATGCTGGGCAGCCCAAGGCAAGCACAGCAACGCTCTGGCACTGCGTTGCTTGGCATTTGCCCTCGTTACTGTGGTACCTGGGAGGATGGGGCATGCTGGGCTGGGCTGCGCGAGGCGTGGGTATAGCAGTGACTGAGGTGAAGGGGACAGTGCCAGGGTGAGCAGTGGGCAGAGAGCAGGAGAGAGGTCCATGCCTATGAACACGGGGAGGGCAGAGCAGCGGGGCTAGGAGGTCACCCCCACCACCAGCCTGGGGGCCTCGGGCCCCGACCTGCCCTGATGTCACTCTACTGTCGAGGAAGACCTGAGCCCCGACCTGCCCTGGTGTTGCTCTCCTGTCGAGGAAGACCCGTGGGGAGTCTGTCCGTCCCTACACAACAGCCGCTGTTGGCAGCACAGACCCCAAGAGCAGCCCTCACGCAGGGGATCGGCCTCGTGCCGCACCTCTCTGGGATGTTCGCACAGCCGAGGGATGGGAGGGTAGCACGGACCCCGCCAGACGCGAACGTTTCATGGACGGTCGCCTCGAGGCTTCGGGCTGGCGGGTTGTTCCTTTTCCGCAGCGGGGCCTGGGGCATGAGCTGGGTTTGTTAACCCGGGGGTGTTTCCATTTAGATTCTACTGAGCTTCCCAAACGCCTCAGCCTGGACAGCTCCTCCTCGCTGGAGTCCCTGGCCTCTGCCCAGTCGGTTTCCAACCCAGTGCCCCAGTACCAGAACCCTCCGTTCTCGCCAACGTGTCCGGACAGCTTGGCTTCAGACGCCATTTCCGTGTACAGCCTGAGCTCGATTGCTTCCTCCATGAGCTTCGCGTCCAAGCCTGAGAGCGTGTCGGAAGGGGCCGGACACAGAGGACGCCAGGACTACGAACGGCCCAAGAACGTCTATCCCCACCGGCCCCCGGGGCCACGGAGCCAGCTGTCTCCACAGACCAACCCCGCGGGCAGCAAGGACGATGAGGAGTATGAAGGGTTCTCTATCATCAGCACCGAGCCCCTGGCTGGCTACCCAGATGATGCAAAAGCGAGATTTTCACCTGATCACAAACAGTCCAAAGCCGGCCAGATGGGAGAGGCAAAGGCCTCTGTCAGCACCCCAAACTCGCCCGTCAAAATGACTCTTATCCCCAGCCCAAACTCGCCGTTCCAGAAAGTGGGGAAGCTGGCCAGCTCGGACACGGGGGAGTCCGACCAGTCCAGCACCGAGACTGACAGCACTGTCAAGTCCCAGGAGGACAACAACCAGAAGCTCGACCCTCAGGAGCTGGCCCAGAAGATCCTGGAGGAGACGCAGAGCCACCTCCTGGCAGTGGAGCGTCTGCAGAGGAGCGGCAGCCAGGCGAGCAAGAGCAGCAGCCCGGCCGACGGTGCCACGACGCCCACCAGCACCTCCGCCTTCCGATCCTCCGAGACCAGCGCCTTCAGCCGGCCTGTGAGCTCCGGCAACAAGAGCCAGCCCTCTCCCGTGACAATGAAACCAAAGCCTCCAACCAGGAGCTCGTCCCTGCAGAAGGTGAGCTCTGGCTACAACAGCCCCACCATGTCGGAGACGTCCAACAAAGACGGCACCGGCCAGTCCAGCGGGCAGCCCTCTCCGAGTGCTGACTTGCACAGCTCCCTGATCGAGCAGCCTCACTTCAAGCTCAAGTACCCCAGCTCTCCATACAGTGGGCACATCTCCAAGTCCCCCAGGAACATCTCCCCAAGCTCAGGCCACCAGTCTCCCGTGGGCAGCACACCCTCCCCGGCGCTCTCGTACTCCTCCGCTGGCTCCGCTCGCTCCAGCCCCGCCGATGCCCCCGACATAGACAAGCTGAAAATGGCAGCCATCGATGAGAAGGTACAGGCCATCCACAACCTGAAGATGTTCTGGCAGAGCTCGCCCCAGCACTCTCCTGGGCCCATGAAGATTTTTCGAGGGGCTCCGGGAACAATGACTTCTAAGAAAGACGTTCTCAGCTTGCTAAACTTGTCTCCGCGGCACAGCAAGGAGGAGAGTGTGGACAAGCTGGAGCTGAAGGATTTGTCTGTTCCCCGGCACCTTGCGTCCCCGCAAAAGAATCCCCCCAACGGACACCGGCGCCCCGAGGCGACCCACGCAGGGGCTTCCTCTCCTCCTCCGCCTCCCAGCAGCACTCCGGGAACGGCACGCCCGCTGAGGCTGCCGTCGGGCAATGGTTACAAATTCTTGTCGCCAGGAAGGTTTTTTCCTTCCTCCAAGTGTTGAGATGTCTTTTCCTACCGGTGGATTCCACTTGCAATGATGTTAAAGGTTCTCAGTAATCGCTTCCGCCCACTTGCCTTGATCAATGCAAAGCCACAGAGTTGTGCCTGAGGCGCCACGGTCACACCCGTGGTTTGCAGCGCACAGAGATGAAACCTGCTGGCCCCATGCTGTGCAGAGCACAAACGTGGCCTTCTGCTCATGGGTCTCGGTTCCTCTTGTCGGTGCTTTGGCCAGATGCAGCCGATGCCAGGTTTTGTGCAGCGTTCAGTACTAACTCTCTGCAGCGGCAGGTCCAGGGGACCTGCCTGTTCACAACCCGATAGCTTTCAAACCACCTACTGCATTTGTTTCCTAGCCTGCACGGAGGCTGCACGGTTGGATTGTTTGTACAGAGATGGTGTGTGGCTGGGGACCTGGAGGGGCGGCGAGCAGTAGCAAAGCTTTCACTTCTGCCACAAGAAAATCATGCGCAGTTTCAGCCCAGAGAAGGACCGGCCCTTTCTCTGGTTTCGGGGGCTGATGTGGGGGTGGGGGAGGGCTGTGATAATGGGGTACGGCTGGGTCCCAGCACTGCTACGTTAGCACTTCGACCCCATGGCTGGGTTCCTTGGGCAGGACCCTGGCAGCATTGTGATGCTATGCTGTGGGGAGGTGCGTTCCCTTCCACATCCTGCTTTCCTGGTGACTTTTTTCCTGCTGCTTGGTCTGGTCCCAGAGGCACATTTGGGCACCTAACAAGCAAAGCCCCAGCATGAGTTGTGGGCACGTGATAGAGATGGGTGTTCAGTCCTGGTAAACGCTCTGAACTTGACTGCACCCGATTTCCCTGGGGCCAGGCTTCATCATGGCAGGGAGCTCGTCTGCCTACAGGGGCTGGGAATGGGAGGGTGGGGTATGGTGAAGGGGAGAGGGTTACGCCCGGCACCTCCATCCTGCAGGACCCTGACTGTGAGCCCCGTCCTGTTCAGGCACCCCCTCCCCATGCTGGCCAACCCCTTCTACGCCCTTTCCCATCACCCAGTCCACATCCTCATTTTGCTGCTGTGGAAAGTCTCTCAGTCCTTCCTTTCCAGACCAAGCATCCCAGCAGACAAAGCAGGTACTTGTCGTGCTGTCAGAGAGCACCTGGGAGAGACCGTCCAGCCTGGCTGCATGCTAGAACCTATGGACCCCGTGTTTGCTGAGCTGCAGGTCCTGGGAGCAGCGAGGGGCGGGAGGCTCTGCGGAGAGCAAGGCAGCAGGCCGGGCACCCGGGTGGTTTTGGGGTCAAGGTGGAAGACATGTTTTATGCAAGCCAAGCTACACAATGCAAGCACCGAAGTGAACACGAGGAAGCCTGAGTGTTTAGGTCATGCACCGTCACGAGACCTGGCCATGCGGCACCCCAGATCAGAGCACAGCCCTGCACAGGCCCGGCATAGGGTCATGGGACTCTCAGAGGTTCGTGTCACTGTGTGACCCTGGGCTGACTCATCTCTCTGTGCCTCCGCTTCCCCAGCCACCTCAATGGGGACAGTGATTCCTACCTACCGACCTACCTCACAGGGGTGTTGTAGAAACCGGGTGGCCCTGGGCTTCGTTGTATCACAGCGCAGGTGCCCATGTTGCACCTACCTACTTGAGTGAGGGCAGCCAGCTCGCTGGGCACAGCTCTAGATGCTGATAGCCCCTCCAGCTGCAGGTTTGGAGGCTGCTTTGAAGTTCTGGGCCCTAGGATGTGTGTTGCTTTTTGAAATCCCTGAGGACAGGTGTGAGAGCAAGACACTGGATTCAGTTCTCACACCTCGATGCCCCTGAGAGAAGCTCAGTGCATCAGTGATGTATGTAGCAAGTGCTGGCCCTGCTTTAGCGTGAAGATCCCCTGGTCCAAGGAGGAACGTTTCCCTTATCGCAGCTGCAGCAGATGTGGTGCGAGCACTACAGGTGTGGTGTGTTCCTACAGACAGCTAACAGGGAAGTGTGAACAGGAAACTTGCAATGCCCAGGACCGAAAGGAGATAAATCAGTGGTTTTTAACCCTGGGGGTCCATAGACTGTGTCTAAAGACTTAGCAAAAGATGACTGTGATCAATTAGCAGCATGTGTGCACCCAAACTTACAATCCACAGGGGTCCTCACCTCGGTTTGAAATTTCCGAAGGAGTCCACAAATGCAAAAAGGTTGAAAGCCACTGAGCTAAATAGTCCAGGGGGGTAGGAGGCAGGGTTGAAGGACAGACCTCACCCTATGACTTTTAATTTCATTAGCAAATGTTAAAAAGGGTAGTTACAGAATTCACTGGCACGTGCTACAGAACGCAGCAACACAGCAAGGCCAGTCCCATGCCCTTTCCTCATACAGATTACGTGGCTGGGCATTGCAGCTTCCCAGGGATGGCTGGGGGCAGGTAGCCATGGGCCAGGACAGCGACTAGGACTTCTGGGGCAGTGGGGATGCTGTTACTGATGCAAACTGGTGCGGTCACAAGGCCACCGAGAGGCCCCATGCCACTCGCTCCAGTTCCAAGAGACATCCTCATTTCACCCTAGGGCAGGGGGAGGAGAGCTGGGCCAGCTTTTTGTTTCCAGGCGCAGTGCTCTGTGGCACGCTGGAAGTGCCCCCATGTGCTGTGTATTTCAGTAGTCAGAGACCCACCATCTGTGGGAAGCTGCTGTGTTGGCACAGCCCATTTCCACGTGGCTGAAGGCCACCGGGCACCTGAACTGCTCAGGAAGCGTGAATCAGGTAACATGCATTAAGCACGGGAAGCGATGGGGAGGCAGAGACGAGGGGGGTTCAGCTTGGAGGGAAGCAGTGTCCCATACACAGGGAGGGCCAGCACAGCCAGAACAGGGATGGTGGGAGCTGCGCTTCCATTGATACAGCCCACAAACACCTGGTTTTGATGCCTACTCGGGCCCGCAGACACCTCGCAAACCCCGGTGCCTCGCTCCCCTGCCCCCCAGATCGGAAGCAACCCCTTTGTGAGGAAAATGCGCATCGGGCAGGTTTGCCCTTTGCTTGGAGGCTTTCAGGACGTCGAAGATAACCTGTTCTCGTTTTGATAGTAGACTCCCTTTTGTGGAATTTACATGCGTTTGTCGTCGTTGTATTTGTGCATGGTACCAGTGACAACACTGCTAGTACAGTGAGCAATAAGAAGTAGGTGTACTCCACTTTCACAATAAACTTCCCACGTGCAGAAGCCCCAAGGCAATAGGAAGTATTTTAGTTTGGTTTAACCCCATCTGTTTGACTGTGCAAGCCACTACTTACAGATAGTTTGTTGACTGTCTTTAGCTTAAATAAATGGGAACAGCCAAAAAATGCAACTGACCCAAATCCAGTTTTATTCTGGTTTCGTTGGCTAGCCTGAGCTGGCCAGGTGCTGGTCTTCCTCCTCATAATCGATGTAAGCACGGAAGCAAAAAGCGTTGAGGGGTGAATGTGGCAAAGGGGAAGCTACAGCTGCACACGCTGCCCCTGGGTTGCAGTAGGGTTTCATGAACACCCCTCGTTCGGGTGGATGGGGGGTCCCAGTGTAAGCGCAAGCTGGTGCTGAGCAGCGTCAGTAGATGGGGGCTCTTTGCGACGCTTCTGCTCGGCCGTGTTGTCCAGACAGGCTGCTCCCGTGCGCTGTGAACGGGCCCTTGCGCTGCAGAGAGCCTCTGGAAGGACTTTGATGAGGGAAACTCCAGGAGGACTGCTCCGCTCTGCCGCCTTCCCCTGCAGCAGCTCCTGCGCACTCACTCTTCTTGTATGCAGTGTTAGCCATGTTTGGCCTATACGGACTTTTTTTGTAAATTAAAACTCTGTTTCCAGACAGCATTAAACTTTTTATATTATGAAATTTACCATGTAAAAAGAATTTCATATTTTTATTGAAATTGCTAAGGCATTTGGCCTTCCTTCTTTGTGATTTCTGTGTCTATTAAAGCATGAGTTCTCTCAGTACCTCCGTGTCTTGTCCTGGCATCGCCTCTCTGACAGATTGCCGAGTGCACTGACCTCCCCTCTGACCTCAGGCCACAGATGACAATTGCCAGCTCCTGCCCCGCTCCAGAGAAGACACCTGAGTCGCAGCGTGAGCGCCCTCAGGCCTCGGCTCCTGCGGTCGTGAGCATGGCATAACTTGCCAGGCAGCTTGTGTCTACTGGCACCCGTGCAGAGGCCACGCGGACATGGTCTTTTAGCAGCCCCTTCGCTGGCTGCGAAGCCTCCGGGAGGTTGTACGGGCTCGCAGACTGTGGGACGAGTTGTGCGTGGCGCTGACGCCTCTCGTCAGTCTCCACGCTCCTGCTTTCCCACAGCTGCAAGCTCATCGTCCTCTCCTGCAGACTGACTCACTCCGGCCTCTGTGCACTACCTGGGGCCTGCTTTGCCTCGCGCCGGTGCCAGCCCAGCCGGCCTGTTTGTCCCTTTCCCCGCTGGCGTGTTCATGCTGCGAGTGCCCTGCTGAAGCTGAAGGCCCCGGGAGCTGCCTCCAGCAACAGCTGGAGCTCATCTGCGGTTTGTTTGTTCATTCAAGACGCCAAATGTAGCCTGTGGCATGGCCGGGCCTACCCCTGTGGCTCGTCCACGGCGAGGAACGCCCCCAAAGTGCAGGCGATGTGACTTCCACGGGCAGCGGGTGAGACGCAGGGACCGGCTCACTCGCTCGGGGGGCTGTGTGCCAGGCTACCTGTGGGCTCGGGTGTTCCTCTCCGTCCCGGTTACGCTGGGGTGGGGGGTCGGGTTTTCTAGCTTTCCCTGACAGCCAGGAGGGCGAGACGCTTACGGCTTCCTTGCTGCCAGCTGAGATGCTGCTGCGAGCGAGCCGAGTCCACGCCCGTGTTTTCCGTGCTTGGATCGGCACGCGCCTGAGCTGCCTCTGCGTTGCGTCCAGCACCGAGGCATTGGTGTTCGCACGGCGCGGGTCCCGGCTGGCACTGTTTCACGCTAAAGTCAGGGAAGTTTCTGCGCTTGAGACCGGCTGCCTGCTGCCAGTCGCCCTCGCCTGGCGGGGCCAGTCCTGGGAGAGGGGCAGGCGGGTCTAGGCTGCCCCGTGCCTTGAAGCCCAGCCAGGGGGAGATGGTTGAGCGCGTGGCCCTGCCCTGCTCCTCCGTGAGCGCTCCGCGCTGCGCACGCTGGCCACTGCTGTGCCATGTCGTTTGCACGCTCGCCCCCCTCTGGCATTGCACGCACGGCACAGGCCCAAAGCTTCCCAAGCACACCGGGATGCATGTGATGAACGTGTGCACAACACGCGTAACTGCTCTCTCGTCTCTGCGCCAGGGCCGGGGCCGAGACCTCGGGGGTTGAAGTCTGCGGAGGAGGAGGAAGTTGGTCGGCTGGTTGGAGTCAAGCCTTCAGCCCGCATCGGCGGCGTGCCCAGCGAATGCAATTATTGCTGGGACTTGAGGAAGAAAACGCCGGTCATTTTTTTTAACGAGGGGAGCGCGGGGCAACGAACTCATCCCCTGCTTTGCTCGTGTGTTATTTGCACGCGGGGCGGGGGG